ATTTGCTTTATCTTTGAATTAAGGCCAACTGTTTTAAGAATACTGTTCTCAATTTGTTTCAAATTTAACACTGAATTAAGAGTAACTTTACAGTTTGGTTCCCCCTTATGAATGGAAATGCTGTCTTTGTGCACAACCTCCACAGGATTTCCTATTGGCAGGCTCAAGGATGGGTCCAAGACTTTTATTTTCAATTTCGTCTGGGTCGCCACTGGATCAGTGAGTGCAGGCGCCATTGCAACAAGACAGCATACTCTTAGGGAAAGTGGAGCAGACATGCACTGTTAAAATTTAGGAAATATCAGAATTCTTTCAATAGAGGTGAAATATTTTTGCCTGATGCAATGGCATGTGGTTAGGATTATCTCACAATGGCTATTCTCCAACCGTACATCCAGCATATCCTTTACAGTTACCTTTAGTGAATACCTACAAAAGTAAAACAATAACGTAGCATTGCCATATTCCTATAAATATACATTACACATGAAATTAGCGTCCAGGAAATGGACTTTTTTCATTGACCTAATTTCATCCAATGCCAAACAAACGTAAAACAAGCATCGATTTCTGCTTATCATTACCTAGAAATATTAGTACATTTTAAGCAATGATTTATTTCACGATTCCACTGCATGTCAATCAATGGCAGCTTCTAAATTAACCATAAAAAGTGTTGATAAACACAGACTAAACAATAATCACAAACCACGTGATCTGGGCCACGTCCCTGGAAAACGCATGTAATGTCGTCGTCTATCTCAATTTCGCATGTAATTCCCGACATAAAAATGCAATATGTGTACACAAAAATATAACTCAATAATACCATTAATCCTCTTCTTTTCTTAAGAGCATAAATCATGGTGGATCATATCTATTTTCAAGAGTTTCGCAATGTGCTTTTTGGTCCGCCCTTACAAACAAAATCCACCATAATGGCGTACAGCGGGTTTACAGCCAAGCCATCATATTACAAAAATGCGGGATTCATTATTCCAATCGCAATACCAATAGTCATATCCCCCTCTAGGTGCTATTTAACTATTGGTCAATTCGTGAAGTTTTCCCATAATCTATCTACTTAACACACTCCCTCGTGATGTATTCAATGTTATTTGATAATAAACATAAATCATTTACAATTTAGATTGGACTTTTCATTATTCAATCTGTAAAATAAGAAAAATCTTAATTAAATTTCATTTTCAAGTCCATAAATTCTTATTTGAAAAAGACTATGCGATGGGGTAACTACTGGGGACGAAAACGCAATAGCCGTATAATAAATAAGATGACGCGCTAAAACTAGGCACCTTGTCAAAATATTTACTCGCAGGGCAATTAAACTTCAATCTTCCTTTTTGGAAAAAAAAAGATATGATTTTTTTTTTAAATTTTACTCTTGACTGAAGAATGAGGACCAGTAATAAATTTTCATTTCAGGACCCGACTCACGAAAATAAATTTAAAATTAGGTCGCGGCGGGGGGGGGGGGGGGGGTTCTTTTGGTTTTCAAAATTTTAAAGCAACTAATAGCATGACAACTTATATTTTGAGTGTGTGTGGTGTTTGTTAAGAAGAAAACGGGGGGGGGGGGGGGATGAGAGTGGACAGCCCTGAGTGGGAGCATTATGCGTTAGGGGAATCGGAATCTAAAAGGATTTCGAATAAATATATATAAAAGTCATTCCAAAGTAATTATTTTTATCAGACATGACATCCTCCCCTTCTCGCACTTTAGTTTAGTGTTCATTATAATTTTTTATGCATGTTTATTAAATCTCTAGTATATTTATATAACATCATGTCATCTTATAAATATTGTGGTGGATGACGGTGTTTTGAAAAATAAAATAAACAAGACATGCACTCGCACTTTAATTTAGTGTTAATTATAAATTTTTATGCATGTTTTAAAATCTCTAATATATTTATATAACTTCATGTAATCTTATTGTGGTGGATGACGGTGTTTTGAAAAATAAAATAAATAAGACATGCAAACCCCCAAAAATGAGAGGAAAAAAAATCAACAACTATAAGCAGTATAAATTCAATTTTCCAAACTAGTTGACTTAATTCCCCCAAAGAAGCATATACTAATAAGCTACAGAAATGCATGTATATGATGTGGCCCCTTTCAATTTATATAAAATACAACTATATTAAAATAACTATAGGTACCCCAACCCTTGGAGAGAGGGGAAAATCCATTCTAAAAGGGAAAACAAATCCATTTTATGGTTAGGATTTTTGTGGAAGCTGATCAGGATATATAATTTCCTAGATCTCAAAATGGAAAAAAAAATGAATTATTCATTCTCCATGCAGTCTGTTAACACGTTTTGGGGGAATTCCCGCTGAGTTTGACCTGTAATTTATTACTCCTACCAACCAAATTAAACACGCTTAATTAAATATACTACTTGCAAGAAAAGGTATCTTGTGTCATTGATTCAAGGTCATATCTAAAGGTGAAGGCTATTGTAGCAGTTTAGCTACAAATTTGTCTGTCCCATATCTCGGACAACAGAAAATAACTATATACTCAAACACAAAGAAACGAACTTATATTTGGTTAGATTATGTATCGTGATATACCATGTTAAATATGTGAAAGTCCAGGATTGTGAAAATAATAGTGGATTAAGATAGCACAAACACGACAAAATAAAATATCAAATTGTTGTTTTTGTTTTTTCTGAAATCAATATTGTCTATACCACAACAAACTTAAGCTGCGTGAAATGGCGATCATGCACTTACATGCAATGCAGTTAAAAAAAGTCCAAAACCATGAATAATTAAAAATTTTCAAATTCTAAGGCCATATTTTTTGCAAAAAATGGGTCAATCAATGCACACTCATATTTGATCTTTAATTCATCAATTAAAAAAGAGACAAACCCAAAGATCATTATCTACATGTACAGCCCCCCCCCCCCCCCAAAAAAAAAACCCTGTGAATTAGACATTTTCTAAGGGCAATAACTTTCGTTAAAAAAAGCGAAACTGAACTAGATCTGTACGTCATCATTATCAAGACATACCATAAATCAGCTCATTTAATCAACAAGCACATGTTATACAACGCAAAATATAATAAACTTGGATTAATAAATTTTGCGTTATTACATTTTGCTTCGAGATCAATGCAGAACGTAATAACGTAAAATGTATTTTTAAAAAAAAAAATCAAAGTTTAAGGGCCACTACTTTCGCAAATATAAGTCTTGGTACTTGGCATCCAGTTTTTGTTGTTTTTTTTTTTTCTTCAACTGATCAGCATACTGTAGCAGTTTCTCATCTTCTGTTGTCGCAAACTATAAGCAAAAAAGTCGAACTTGATCTGTAAGTCATCATAATAAATTAAAAGACATATCAAAGAAATCAGCTCATTATTTCCAACCATAGCGAAAAGAGTCTGAAAACAGTGATATTATTTGAAACTTTCGAAATTTAAGGGATACATCCATTATAAAATTGGGTCAATCAACACAAAACTCGAACTTAATCTGCAAGTCATCATATCAAGACTTACCAAAATTAGCTCATAATCTATAAGCACTGCAAAAAAAACAAAACAAAACAAACAGACAAAAAAAGGTAGCCTAAATGTTTAGAAGTTTTAAGTCTAAGGGCCAAAAGTTTCGTAAAATTGGGTTAATTAACACGAAACACAAACTTGATCTGCAAGTCATCAATATTAATTGAGAGACATACCAAAAATTAGCTCATCATCTATCAGCACAGCAAAAAAAAAAAAGTCAGGAAAACTATGACGGATGAAAATTAAGGGGTAACACTACATGCCTGACCATTTCATGGCGGGGGCATAATACCTTTATACTTCACCCATCGGTTGTATTTGTACAGATGGTGTGTGACAAAGAAGTCAAAATTTCAAAACGAACATTTCGTCTGTCCATGAGGTTGCAAATAAAATTGATTGAATACTAGTACATCACACAAACACTGTCACTGCCTAGAGAGTGTTTTTACAATTTTTATTGGGGGGGGGGGGCAATTATGTCAGGTCAATGAATTAGCCTTTGATGGAAAATATAAATATCTCGCCCATTTTCATTATTTCTAAATTATCCCCACTTGAAAGAGGAAATCGTCTTTCATTTGAACAAATCTTAAATAATGGAGTAATCCACATCCACCTCACCCCTTTCCTCAAGCTTATTAACCAAATGCGTATTTTGGACGCCACAATAAAAAAAGAATTATCTGATAATTCATCCAGTTGTTCTTTTTTCAGGATAATGTGTCAATGATTTAATTCAAGGTCAAAACTCTAAAGCTAATCACACTTAAAGTTGATATCTATATACTTTCTTTAAATTTTGAAAAAATTAGCATGTCATGATGTCTTTCAAATTAAATGTACTGTATATTACATCTTTGCATATTTTAAATTTGGCTATCTGAAAATTTTTAAAGATATTCCCAATATATATTCCTGTTTAATTTGGACACTATTGCAGGCCAATGTATACCCAATGGCAGTGACTTAAACAATTTCTATTTCACAGTGCCTGGGGATGGTTTCCATCATTTGAACTTCTAACAGAACATTTCCTACAAAGAATGTGGGTGGATAAGCCAAGCATTCCCTACATCTTATTCTTCCCATGTTTTTTTGTCGTTTAAAGATCAGATGTTCTCTAGATTTTTAAATAAACATCTCATTTTTAACATTTCCTATCAATTATCCCTCTCTAGAATGAACATGGTCTTTCATTTAAAGAAACTTGCCTTCCAATAACTAAAAAGGTTTTGTTCCAGCTTTGGTTGAAATTGACTGGTTGGTTCTTTAGAAAAAGTTAGAAAAGTAAAGAACATGAAAAGTTAACAATCAGTCAACAGACTGAAGATGAACAAATTTAGATAAGAAAATTTCACTTGGGACTTTTGCTCAGGTGAGAAACATAAGCTCTGTCTTAAACATTCGACAAAAATGACTAAGTTTTATATAAGTAAAGGCATAGTTTATTGTTTTCTAATATTTCTTACAAAATAGGTGGCGAATATATGTATATTCAACAATTATGCAAAAATCACAATATCTGAATAAAGAAAACATATGCAGTTTGATATTACACCAATTAGATATCCTTTACATATGTACTTGTTACTTTACCTACAATGGCTATAAATAATGAAGCACAACTTTCAAACTACTTTCAACATTATCTTTGATAATGTGTATATATCACAAAATATTTCATTATGCATGACACAAGAAACATCAAAGCAGTTAAATCAAGGTAAAGGTATGTTGTGTGACAACTACTTGAAAATTACCCATATATCACAGTCAATATAAAGTTTTTTTCTTCAAATGTTTCACTTTTCATAATCTCTAAATTAATGTTACAAACACATTATGCACTGATGAATAACTTACATTTGATTTAAAAAAAAAAAATGATTCTGATGCATCAAAAATGAATAATTCATTTGATTCCCCTTCCTTTCTTCACAAAACAGGATTTTTTAAAATCATTATTTCCCTATAGAAAAAAAAGACAAATTACATTTCAGCAACTTACATCAATGTGTCAAAATTGAAAGTTAATGAAAACATTGTCTGGAATTTTTTTTGCACTAGAAAAGCCAAATTTAATTAATGTTAGAATTGAAGTTAATAAAATGATGATGCTGCATTCACTTTTCGATTCAGTGTAGCAAGTTCTGTAACTCCCAAGCCTATTTGTCAGACACAATTTGTCGGGCAATGAGCTCCTTCATGATTTCATTACTTCCACCATAGATGGGCTGCACTCGGGCATCAACAAAAGCTTTGGCGATTGGGTATTCCCACATATAGCCCCAGCCTCCATGTAACTGTAGACACCGGGTGGCAACAGAGTTCTGTAGGTCTGAGGCCCTGTTTACCAAAGATAATTAAGACACATATATGGCTATGTTAGAACTTCCAAGTTGTAAATATTTTAAGATGATTAAATTTTGCAAATTAATGGAGAGAAAATATTTGTAAATTTAATGTAAAATTGGTTTGAAAATATTTAACTTTTAGTATGTTTTATAAACTACATGTATCTGAAGGTTCTGGGTTGTCTCTAAGAATTGAAATAGCAGGGGACATTAAAAAAGTAGAAGGGGATTTGGGGCTCATCCCCTAACAGGGGGTTGAGGAGGAACACCAGAATGACAGGGGAATTACATCATTATAGGTGGGAAAATTCCCCAGCCCCCATGTCTTAGGGACAACTCTGAGGTTGATATGTGAATAATATATCACGATTGGAAATTTCAAATCAAACTAAAAAGTTACATGTATTTGCCATTCCAATTGCTGTTGACATGACAAAATGTAAACAATATTGCTCATAGTACTTTGGCTTCTCTGCAGTGCTTGAAGATTTTCCAAAGCAACAGGTTTCACAGCAGTATAGTATATGGAATGTCACTTTTGATATGATACATTTTCATAAAGGCTAATTTTGTTGATAGCACCATTGTTCTAAATAGGTAAGCATTTTTATCATAATCATTACAGGTGCATACTATATGCTAGATAGCAATGTTAAAATAACAAACTTTCAAATTCTAATGGAAAAATATTTTTCAGTCCCAAGTGATATCATCTAAGCAAGCCAAGAATTAATGTTACAAGACACTTCTTATCTCTGTTACAAGATACCTCTTTTTGCACTTAAATGCATAAAATTTTAAAGAAATCTGAAGAGACCTTTTCATTTAAATTGAAATGTGATGTGAAAATGAAAAGTACCGGTACCAGTAGCCCAATCTGATTAAAATATATTTTTGTTATGCTCCGAAATTCTGATAGTCACTGTACAAAGCGAATTTCGTAGGGTAACAAAGATCTGATTTTAAACAGATCGACCAGTTGCCAGTCAAGTTTTGAGGAAATACCCAAATCAGGCTAAAATTCAGTTTAAAATATCCTGGGATGTACATGTATCTCTTGACTTGGTATTCATAGAACTAGTTACCAATATTTTGCCATTGACGCTGATGATGAGTCAAGCCCTCTCTCATTGTGAATTTTCAAGCACTGATCCAGGAAAGCCCGTCCCACACATATCTCTGTTTTTAGCTCTGCCAGTTTGTGTTGAACAGTCTGTAACATTCAATATGTATCAGAATTACAGGTACAATGTACTAGAGAGATGTGATCTGTAAATAGCTAATAGTTACACATCCTTGAAAATTGAATGAGTAAGGTGCGCTTGCAACATTATTTCTTAGAATCACTAAAATTTAAGGAGAAGCGAGATGTTACAATAGAGTTGGTAAATAGTACAGTAGATTCCTTTTCATATTCGAAGAATATCCTCGTAAAATGGTAAGGAATACCTGGAGAGAAATCCCAGATCTTGCTCTTATTTCTATCAAAATTTAAGTTTAGATTATAGATCAATGAACAGGTATAGATTTTCCTTAAACTCAGTTTTATCAGTTATCTTCCATTTAACAATTTATTTCCTTGAGGATTTTGTTTTAGTACTGTATATACATAATTTATTGAATGAAAAGAAAGAGATAATATCATGCAGAATTTTAACCATATTATTAGTTCACATGAACAATAATAAATTTAAACTATTATACTTGTACTTAACATAAATAAATGTATAATTGGTTTATTTACCAATTAAGGGCCCTCAAGGGCAACAAAACAGTACAGTGTATATACTAATAAAGAAATTCATATACATATACATGTAATACAATATACATACATACTAGAAAGAAAGAGTTGCACAGTTGAAAGGAAGACAAATGATATACATGTATGTATATGAAGTACTGTCACTGGAATAAATGATTCTTGGTAAAAAATTTGTTTGATGTATTAAGACATATTTTTTTTGTGTGTGAAAGATATAAAGATAACCTGAAATCAGTCAATCTTATTTATTACGAATAAAATCATGCTACAAGTATTTCTGCTAAAATGAACTGACAGGCACTGTAGTTAAATTCTTATTCAACACTTCATTGACCGTTTCCCATAAAGGCTGAGATGTAACAGGCAACAATTTTTTTCTATGGGGAGAGAAAACTATTTTTTAGGTTACAAATGGTCATCTTGTAATGCTTATCGAAATGTTCATCAAAAAAGAAAGTGTCCCATGAAGTTTGCATGTCCATTTGAGTAGCTAATCGTTGTGATGTGAATTCTTAGAAATTTGTATGATGATTTTCTTTCACTCAAGTGTTTGTACTGCTCTATTTCTATATTTATGATTTTAAAACCAAAACAGTGAAAATCTGGAAATCTCGAGATATGGCATTCAAATCACAGAGCATAATTAGGGGGTAAAAAATCTTAAAAATAGAGAGGTTTAACAAACCAACATGTACGCGTACGTGTATGTGTAACAGGGAATTCCCCCCGGAAATATGTGCACTACGTCATTAGTTTTGCTATTGACGAATTTCTACACGTATCCACTTACCTGTAGATTGTCAAGTACATTTAAGTCAAAACTTGTAGCTTATATTTCTTTAACTGCTGTTTATTTTTTTAAAGAGTTTGCATTTTAATGCAAATACTGATATAAAGAACTAAAAGTTTGTAAGGGAAAAAAATAATTTTACAGAGTGTTAAATACACTACATCTAAACTTTCAAAACAGGCTATGACGGATTAAAATTATAAGAGCTCTTCTCAATTTTTTTCTTATAAATATATGCATATATTCAATAAAAAAGTGACAAACATATTAAATTTAATGTGTTTTTTATTTTTTTCTTAATGTTAATCACTTTTACATCTAAAACACTTACAAGTACACACACAGGTTATACTTTGCTAAACAAGAAAAATAACGTAAACATGTACATGTAATTCTAACTTGTAGTTTACACGTAGATGTACACATACAAGTGCACTTGCTAAACCTCTCTAATTACAGGTAAATTGGGAGAGTAGGCAGGTCTGCAATAAGCTTCCACATCACTGGTAACAAATCTAATTCTGAGAGAGTGTGGTGTTTGCAATTACATATTCTAAAGAATTCATACAAGCCAGCAATCACAAACTTCTAGTTATTGTAAAGTTAGGGGGATACCTTATTTTTAAATAATCATGACACTGCATTCTAGTGCAAATGTTAATTAAATAATCCAAACCTGAAGATTAGAAATAGTTTTTCCAAATGCCTTTCTTTGCCTGACATAGTTCCTAGTTTCCTCAAACATCCACTCACAGGATCCAATAGCCATGTCTGCAATGATAAGTCTCTCCTGTGGCAGTTCCTGCATTAGATAATAGAATCCCTTGTTTTCCTCACCGAGAAGGGATTCCTTTGGAAGACGGACATCTTCAAAGAACAGTTCTGCAGTGTCCTGTAAAATAATTTGATTTTAAAAATATATACGAATCAAAAGTTAACATAATTTGAGAGTGAAAATTTTTGACAAGGATTGTCCTCTGTAATATATCAAAATCATCAAATTCATTATTCAATATTAGTATCTCTTTTTTCCAAACTTACCTTTACACCACAGATTTGAAGCTCATATTTTATAAAATTTTCTAAGTATCATGACTTTCTTATTTCTAAAGCATTTCACACCGAAATATATTAGAATTTGTTATGAAAATTCTTTTATCTGGGAATTATCAAAACTACAATTTTCAGGATGCGTATGATTGACACATATCCTTGCACTTTCACAAAGTAAACTTTTTCCATAATACTTAGGAAAAGTAAAAATTTTGTTGTGTTGATGAAAAATATGAAAACTATAATCCAGAAAGTTCCGAGTAGAAATGCAAGAAAGCAAATCCAACTACTGTATAGGGGGAAAATAACTCGCGGTGTTAATATTCGCTATATTCACGGTGTTAATAAATCCGTGAATTCAAGAAACAGTCAATAAGTTTTTAATAACCTTCATGTTATATTTGGAAATTTAAGAATAGACTACGATAGGTATATTTACGTGTAGTACATGGTCTTTTCAGTAATTACGAGTCGCACTTGTCATTCAATTATTTTAATTATCACGCTTTACTTTAATTTAGATCAGCAGATAATAACCTGTATTTGTTAAAAAGCTGTTTTAATAGCTAACGCTACATGTTTCATCAATCAAAACACGTGGGTCATGGGTTTTGATTACCCGTGCATAACTATGTTTCCACGTGTATTTGTTACCTGCACTATCATACGTATTAGTTTTTATCGACATTTAAGTTTTAAAAAATCATTCAAATAATATCGAACTTGCTGAAGATGTGGAAGGATATTAACATTAACACATTTCTTACCGTCCAGCAGATGTCCAGTGGTTTTTCGCCGCGATGTATTATCCCTTCGGAAAGAAGATCATGGGGTGTCGTAATAGCATATAGGAAAGTGACTCGACGTTTATAGTCAAGGACTTTTAAAAACTAATTAATTATTAAATCTAACTATTTTATATAAACATTACCCTGTGAAGTGAATACATAACGCTGATTAAAGTCGTTCTAGCTATGCTATGGATTAAACGGATATAGACAAGGGAGGTAACTTTATTATATACATGTATCGATTCCGCGAATTCAACAAACCGCGATCGTGTCAGAGGAGAGAAAAACGTGAAAATTACAACCCGTGAAATTAATCCCCTATACAGTAACCAGTATTGTCAGTCCATGCTCAGTGATGTGTGCAGACTGAACAAATTGAACACACCCGGTAAAATGTAGGGTAAACACTAACAATAACAGAGCTCGTGCCATGTTTACAAACACAGGTGTTTGACGTGATGTTATAATGTTGTCATTGAATTCTTAGAATAATCATATTCAACTTACTTTTCAAGTTTTAATTCATTTGAATGCAGTAAAAATTGGACAGATTTTGTGACAGTTGCTCTGTGATACATGTATATCATAATGTGCTGCAAGCACAAACAGAGGCCTGATGATTCTTTATAACTAAATGTTGTCTAGATACTAAAGTCCATTTTGTAGAAATAGCATATAATACTGTATACAGGGAAGTTTTTGCCCCCATTTTTATTTTCGCTCCTTTTTCCTCTCATTGCAGTTGGGTGAATTTAAAATGGGGTAAATTCAAAGAAAGCAAAATCTCTTTAACAAGACTATGTCTGGGCAAATTTAAAAAAGGGGCAAAATTGCTTGCAAGTGTGAAAGGGCAAAAATAATATGGAGTACGAAAATAACCCTGTATACAGTACTTTTTCTCTAGATCTGTTTAATATATCTAATAATCTATGTTTCAGACATAAAGTGCATACCTGTGCCTTGAATCCAATTTTCTCTAATTTTCTGCCTTTGACAAAACCTTTCATACCATCCTCCACAAGGAAGAGACTAATACCATGGGCCTTTGATTTGGCTTCTGGGTTAGTTATTGCCACAACAATGACCAAGTCTGCCATCCAGCCATTTGTGATGAACACCTTTGACCCATTCAAAATGTAGTCAGAACCATCTTTTTTGGCATTTGTTCTAATTCCTTGCAAGTCACTAAAAAGATAATTCAAAGTGGGAATTTCTGTCAAGTTTAAAGGACTTTGAAATTTAGACTAAATAAAGCATGGGAAATGCTTCCAGCTTAATTGTATAGGAATTTGATAAATTTTTTAAAGAGTTAAATGCAATATTCTTGTCATAAATAAGGAATAAAATTGTTCAAAAACAATATTTTTTGAAAGAAAAATTTTGTTCTCTGGACGTCATAACTGCTGTAATCATGGGGAGCTAAGCATAACATTCTTAAACTTCCGATGAGTTGTAAGCATCTCCTGGTTGCAGGCAGTACATTTCTATGTACAGACTGTAGCTAATTTACTCTTATTTATTAGTTTTACCTGCCTGCTCCAGGTTCTGTCATTCCTATGGCTCCAATGCAGGTCCCAGCAGTCATTCTCGGGATGAACTTCTCAATCTGCTCTTTTGTTCCATAATGTGAGATGTATGGCATAATAATGTCAGAGTGCAGACCAAAACCTGGTCCTGAGCAGTTCACATACATCCTGTAATTTGTGTTTCAGTATTTCAGAAAAAAAATGTACAGAAGCATATACAGTGCATATACATCTACCATAAAAATAGTTGCCACAAATTTTAATCTATTGTAAATACATGTACATGTACTTCATTGAATATATATAATACAACTTTTCTATTAAGGAATAGGATATCCGCTCCACAGCCAGGAACAATAACTCTTAAAATATTTAATTTCAAAAGTCTCAAAATGAAGCTTGAAATTTCATGCATCTCAATATGATTCAAGGTTCTTTGAAGTTCATTTAAAATAAAAACAAAGTTACAAATCTTAAAATGCATTCTATACAGTTGACAGCTTTTACTTCATTGCAGGTTTTTTTTTTCTTTCAAATTTTGAAGACATTATCTGCATTGGCTCTTCACACTTCTTTGATTTTATGCCAAGTCCAATGGCTTGTTTCCTATGAGATGTGCTGCGCTGGGTTAGAGTGCGATGGTCTGGCATGCCAAAGTCCGATGGTGTGGAGAAGCAATCATGGTTTATGACTTAACAATATTCTGCAGCCATTCTTTGACGCCATTGTCCAGGATTCAAAAGCCAACAGTGTAGTATTAGTCCTCACATACAATTGACTGGTTTTGCTTACTGCTTGCAACCACCTGAGATATTAGAGTTAATCCTCACACACAACTCAACAGATAAGTGTTTGTGCTTGCACACCTTGGAGTGATTATTGGATAGCTTTGCACCCACCCGAGAGATTGAGAGTTAGCACTCGCACACTATTCGTCTACATAGGGTTAGCTTACACCCACAAAAGAGATTTAGGATAATCAAGTCCTTGCACACTATTGACTGATTAGGGTTAATCTCTCTCCCACTCGAGATGTTACACACTTTTCAACCAATTAGGCATAATCTCTCACCCCTCTGAGAGATTTAGGTTATCCTCACACCTACTTGCAAAATTAGGGGTAGTACTACGATTATATTTTGGCATTTTCTAGTGAACCTTTTCACTTCTGCAATCAAATATTTAATATTCTTTTGTATTTACAGGGTTTTTTAAGGGTCTGAAATAAAGCCCTATTCCTTATGCTAAAAAGAAGGTATTTTTCCAAATTTTTGCTTAAAAATTCCAAAACAATGAGAAAAAAAAAAAAACAAAAGCAGGGTAGCCTTAATGTTATAAATCTCAAAAATTTCCCACACATTCCAAATTTTACCCCAAAATTATTTAGTAAACCTCATTTTATTGGCCTTGGCTTATTTCAATGAGGGAAGCCTTGACTAAATTGAAAGAAGAAGGAGTCACACTCCAATTTATCTTAATGCACTGGTTTTGGTTTTTCCCTACTTTTCTTGAATGAAATGTATTTCCCAATTTCAAGCAAATGTCGCTATTTTTTCCCAGGCCCTTGATATCAAGACCTAAAAAACTCTGATTTATGGTATTTAAAACCATTGGACCTTAGCATGGAGCAGCATCGGAATTTCACACAATAGTACTCTGATGTAATAAATGTTGATCTTCCCACACCGTCAAACTTTGGCATGTCAAACCATCAAGGTTTGGCACAGACCATCGGACTTTAGCGTGACCATTGGACTTGGTGTGATCATTGGATTTTGGATTCCTACATATATACTCCTGTTATTTGCATCAATTCATAAAAATTTGAATCTACATTATATGCATAAGGAGGTATTCTTCAAAGCAGGGATTTATCAGCCTATTTTGGGAAATGCCATTTTTAGGGAATTGGGGTAAAATTATCGGCTTTTTGATGAAATTGGGAAAAATAAAAATCTTGCTAATATCATGTATTCAGGTGTAATTCATTTAACATTTTAGCACGAACTCTAATTTGGGCAACCAGACAGACAATTAAATATGATCCAACTTCATCATACATGATCAATTATGATAATGAATAATAGACTTGATTTCAATGGGTATAAAGTATTTATACAACTTAGGGTAGTACATGTGTGTATGAGATTCCACCTTAGGTGATAAGAATCTTTTTTCTGGAGATTATAAACTTCCTGCAAAAAAATTATACTAAGTACCGTAATTTTGGGGGTATAGGTCGATGGGGTATATAGGTCGAAAGGCTCATTTTCAGACGTAATTTTTAAAAAATCCTTAGATAGGACGAATCCGGAAGGTAGGACGAGGCTTTGTTTATCGATTTTCTAGAGATTCTTACGTATATACTACGTATCAGAACATGTAAACCTCTTTAACTTAACCCGTAATATTAACGTATTGAGAAAATAAACTGGTATTTTTTATGAGTACAGCATTTTAATAGTGTTTTATACAAGCATAGTTAAAATTTCCTTGAATTGTGATATATTTATAACGTATTTTCTTCAACTTGCCTCTTCAATGCCGTCGTAGTTTGACTCTGTCCTTAAACACATAAATACGGTAGTATACAACAGCTATTATTAGGGAAATACCCGAAATCAAACAATAATCATTTCCATTTTAGAACATTGTGGACACATTCTTTTATTCCGACATTATTTACCGGGGTACAATATTAACTTCGATGACCGCCATTTTTATATTTCTTGTCCAGGGATTTGCTAAAACACGCAAATGACTATTACCAGTACATGTAACAGTGAGCAATTGAAATTAGTTATATTAACATGCTATAATTTTGCTTGAGATATTGCTGAAAAAATAAATTTAATTGAGAGTACATTCGCAATTTAACAGTCATTATGAATTTCACAGTTTTGTTTGTTCAATGATGTATAGCACTAATACCCCTGTAACGGCACGTGGATCTGTTAATCATGCCCCGCAGGTGTTTTAACCAACACAGGTGTTAACACCTTTGTGTACACAGTGTATATCCCTTTTCTGTCAGACAATTAAAATTCTATTAGAAGCCAATCTTCGTATAATTCAGTGTACCCCTTGGGATATAAAACAAAATAGTTATGACTAGCGGTATATTTGGTAAATAATTTTAGGAATTTACTGGCAACAATTTATTTCACGTATTTTACATTTAAATAAATATCACAAGACAATGAAAAAATATTTAGGTATACTATTTCAATTAATTGTTACAAATAAATGGAAAAAAAAGATTACATCTGCGATTGTGAAAACGCTTCCGTATTTTAAACTTTGATACGGTTGCGGTTTTATTTTTAGTAAGCGATTGCGACTTCCAACTTCACAAGATGGACACAGCATGTTGTAAATATACGTTGAGACATTATTTACTCGATGATATAATGTTTTTTTTGTACATCGACGGATATTTAATGGAACTTATTTTGTAAGAAATCAATGGGAGATATTTAATTCTTTATTGTTTAGTACTTTTTTCTCGGTAAAATAATTTAAAAAGTTACGAAAATGGCACAGATTTGTTTTGAAATTGACGTAAATTTCACTAATTTGGGGGCATTTTTCATAAACTTGAGCCTTAGAAAGGTCGATTCGTTAAATTGGGCGACCCCAACGGTTCTGAGAAAAAAAGTATCGACCTATACCCCCAAAACTTACGGTACACATTTTCTCAAAGTTCCCTTTTGATATGTAAAAACATTGAAAATACATTTTTCCATCTGAAATATATGCCTACAGTTCTTACCATTCACTCGTAGATCAATTGAATAGGTGGAAATAATTTTAATTAATCTATATTATTAAACAATATCATCATTTTCAGAAAAACGGAGGAAATTCGGATTAAAAGTCGGCGATGTTTACTAACAGTGTTTTTCAACATCTTATGACTGTAACTTTGCGAAATGAGATAAACAGAGGAAAATTACAGACAATCTGACAATTTTACTGAGTTTTTTCCAAGATAATTAAATATCAAAGCATTGTTCACCAATTGGGAAAAAATACTGCCAAACTGGGAAAAATTGAACTCATTTTTAATTGGAAATGGGGCCGAATTTCGGCCCCTGAGAAGGTACTGATAAATCCCTGCAAAGTATTGACTTTTTCTGACCCTGTGGTTCTTGAGATTTTTAAAAGATGCGCTTAAATTTTCATGATTTCTTAATTATCTCCCCTTTGAAAAGAGTGTAGTCCTTCCTTTGAAAAAAATTTGAATCCCCTTTGCCCAAGGATGCTTTGTGCAAAAATTGGTTGAAATTGGTCCTGTGATTCTGGAGAAGAAGTCAAAAAAGGTTGTGTAAAGTTTATAGATGGACAGTCAGATCAATGCCAGACACTGGGTGATCAGAAAAGCTCTCTTAAGCTGATAGCTCAGGTGAGCTAAATAGATACACACTGTTCTTCCCAGGTAATGGCTGTGGACAGAACATCCCCTCCTACTCCTCCATGCTCCTCTTTTGTGTTGACACCCAACAAACCATTCTGACCTGCTTTCTCCCAAACCTAACAATCAAATGAATACTAATAAAGCTCTACACTACAAAAGCACTTATGTGCAATTATGCATAGGAACACTTCTTTAATCTGCTCAACAGGAAGCATAAATGTAAATTAAAAAAAAATTAAAAAGTGCATATTAAACAGACTGTGATACATCCACTGAACTAAAATAGTGATGTTAGAAATATTACAATGCCTCATTTTGAATTCTGATTGACAGCTCTTACCTCTCTGCTGACCTGTCCATCTTTTTCCCACCTACAAATACAAAGTACAGGCCTTACAATTCTGCTGCAAAGGTTACAGGTGTGACAGTCCCATGGCCACAATGCCTAGCTGATTAAGATTAATCTGGCTTACAAATGAAATGAAGTTGAAACATTTCAGTGAGTGCACAATCTGAACAAAATGGAATATATTGTGAAAATACAATTACTTTATACCTGTACATGTATATAGAAACACCTTTGACCCATGGTCATCTGCTAAACATATTTCAACCTACAGTGTACAAGTTATCACTGATTTTGTTGTCATTTCTGGCCCAGTTTTGTGCAAGAAGATTTTTTAACAATTCAACATAATGCCACTTTTTCTTACTATATGAATAATCCTTTCTTGAAAGGAGAGGAACAAGACTCTTCAGTTAAACATAATTTATAAATTCCCCTTACCCAAGGTTGTTTTGGGGCAGATTTTGATTGAATCGGATTTTGCATTAATTTTGGAGAAGTAGAATCTAACATATGAAAAGTTTACTCCAGTCATAAATACAGTCTTACCTTTGCCAGACAGCTCAACATAGTTATTGAGCTGGAAAGATCTACAGCATATAAGTGATGTAAAATTCCCTTATTTTTATTTAAACTCCAATGCTTTTTGTCCCTAAATACACTTACTTGCTGTGATGGGGAAGTACTTCTTCTTGGAAGAATCTTCGAACATTCTGTCTGAACATATCATGCTCAGCAGAGAAAATTTCACGTGTTCCTATATCCATCATGGTGGATGCTTGGCCAATTTCTGGGCGTACCTCTCCATTTCTTTGAAATTTAAAAGAGAATTGTTAAATTCTAAAGAAATAAAAGGCAAACCAAACTCTTTTTAAAAAATTTTGATGCTTTAATCTATTTTAATAAATCAAACATCAAGAGAGACATAAAATAAAATCTGGGCTTGAAAAATAAAATAAATTACGAGCACCTCCCATCAGCAGTAAATAAAGCAAAATAAGGCAAAATTAAAAGTGAATTATTTTAAAATTATCTAATTTTGTTTTATTTAGTGCTATTACAGTATGAAAATTTTTGAAGTTTTTAATTTTTTCCCCCACTTATTATATTATTATTCAGGGCAAAAAAATTGCCTGTAGTGTCAAACTGCTACTTTCTTTTGCTATTTAAAATTTGTTAAAAATCTTGAAAGATTAAATATTTGTCTTTGTTCCTTCAAATTATTTTTGGCATTGGTCTCTTAATAAAATTAATCAACAACAAGATATACTAATACTCTAAACAGTCAAAGACCTTAAACAGTGATATCAAGCTTGGTTATTGACCGTGGACTTTGGACCCATCTCGGAAGGCTCCGACAGTAAACATACATTTGCAAAAACGTAATAAAGCAGCACTTATCATGTATGGTTTGTATAAATACAATACCTACGAACACCCCACCTCCCCTTTTATTTACTCTAACTAACTCATACTGCACAGTAGTTGAGCACCTTGGCCTTTTGATGGAAGTTGAGAACCTGCAGATGTTGTTGAAGTGTTTGTTACATAAACGCACACATCCTGGGGAAATAAAACAAACAAAATTGTATACAAAAATGTATTGAATTCCTTTTGTTAAAACTTTTGAAATCAAAAATCACCAAACTTTGTGCCTTGACACCTGTAGAAACACTTTACGGTCGAGGTCTTACTTGTTAAACTGGAAGCCGCCATTTTTTTCGTCTGCTAGAGAAAATTGATAACTCGTACCAATATTTCTCTAATTAAGTTGACAATATTTAGAAGGGCTTTATGGTAAATTTGATCTCGTACCAACCCGTATTTATAGCCCGATAGATGTTTTAAAATGATACCTTATTACTTATATTTACATTTGTGACTTCATCATATTATATATTAGCCTGATTATAACTTTAACGCGTGAAATGTTTTATTTTTTCAAACTCAACGGCACGAGTTTGATCTATTGATTGCGCGTCGATCCTTTATGACGTCACTGAGAAATTACGTCGAACGTTTATGACGCGAGGAACCTGTGTTTATACGGATATAGATACGCGTTGCTTTTAATAGTGTTATATAAAAGAAAACATTTGCAAATATAAATATTGATTTTTGAGTGCTTCGTTTTAATTCGTAGTCCTCCATATTTGGTAATTGTGACGTTACCAACCGTTCCATTAACGTCGCCCTTTCCAGATGACGTCGCCGGGAAGGCAACGTTAATGGAAAGCGCCCTTAGTTGACAATATTGATTTTGCTCGTAAATGAAATAAGTGACCACACAAATACAGATGAGATAATATGAATATATATTTATTAGTACAGACACATTTGTTTCATATTAGTTTTAGCCGAAAAAGCACAAGCCCGAAAAAACCAGCATTAAAAATTCAAAAAAAGAGAAGGGCACAAGGGGAATACAACAACAAAAGGGAATTAAAAAAAAAGATAAATATACTAATGAAAACTTCTCTGACAAGCAAAATATGTAAAAGAAAAAAAAATGGGCAAATGGTTTCAATCTTTTCTATGAAGGCAATATAATGTTCATGAGAAGTTGGGGGTGCTGTTGGGGTTTCTTTTAGAATACGACCATTTCAGTGATAGTGATTCGGGGGGGGGGGGGGGGGGGGGCTGGCAGATTTTGGAAATGAATAATCTGTCCTTGAAAATGTTGTTCTTAACTGATACAACTACCCACCCACACCCACTAAACAGAGCTTTAATTTGGAGTTGAGCTGTTTTATTCTATTTTTTTCTAGTGAAGTCTAAGGACTTGAAATAACTGAACTGCATGTAGTGTCCTTCAAAATCTTGAAAATGAATAGTTTGTCTTTGACAAAGGCACTTGTTTCTGTAATAAGTCTATATTTTAATCCATGATATTATACAACGGAAAAATTATTACAGAAACAAACATGTGCCTGTGGTCCTTGACTGACATATGAAGATAAAAATAATCTGCCATAAACAAACAGGTCTGTCTGTGATCCTTGACTGGCATGAAAATAAATAAATTTGCCAGCCCTCCTCCCCGTTTCAGAATCAAATGTCCAAAAGCCAGTACACCAACCTTAAAAGAGTCAGCTCTCAGGGAGAGAGAGAGGGGGGGGGGTGATCTACGTTATGGAAGGCATCTTTTCAGGTCCATGCAGTGATTCTTGGAAAGATTTTAGAATCCTATTTATTCCAATGTAAAAACTTTGATTCCCTATTGTGACTCCACCCTACCTCAAGGGAGCCAGAATCTACATTATATCAGGGAGCTTACACACAAGTTTCATCTTTTATAGTCCAGTTTTAAAATTTGCTCCAATATACATGTACAAATGTACATGTATTCCAATGTAAAACTTTGATCCCCTATTTTAGCCCCTCCTTCCCCTTGGGACCATGATATTAGATCAAGTTCTTTTTCTGGTCCAGTTGCTCTTAAGGAGAACATTTTCAAATATTTTTTTGGTACCCCTCTTCCACTAAAAGTGGAGGGGGGGGCACTAATTTGGGTCTGTCCGTTCGTCCATCTGTCTGTCATCAGCCTGTGTGTAATACTTACGTTTCCGGACGATACTCAGTATCTAAAAAACCCTATGAAGAGCTTATTGATTTTTAGGTCAAAAGATCTAGGTTAGTTCATATAATTATTGCAAAAATGGTTTCAAGGTGGGTCAAAAAGTCAAAAATTCATATCTTGCATACGTAAAATGTTTTCTTTTTGACAACTCTAGTTCTCTTTTAGGTTATGCAATGAAATTTTATACCTTTAGTCAATATGACCTTTAAAAAAAAAACTCCTATTGATTTTGAGGTCAAATGATCAAAGACTAGAGTCAGAAATTTTGTATACCAAGTTTTCAGGTGAAAACGCTAGTTCTCTGCAAGGTTTTACAATGAAACATTTCGTCATTAATTTCTTTTCCTATTGAAGACCCATATTGACTTTTTGGACCAAAAGCTGAAAGGTCAAGGTTGGCCCTTTTCCCTTCAGCATCCGCTTGTTCTTTTTCAGTTCTTCCACTGTTTCTTTTTTATTTAAGCAGGGAACACAAATCAAATTACCTGAATAAGCTCGTTTCCTATATATTCCAATGAACAACTTTGATTCCCTATTGTGCCCCCCCCCCCCGGTCATTTACGGTAGAATCTACACTACCTTAACATTTTTTTTCCTTTCCTGGTCCAGTTTTAATAACCCCATCCCATTTTTGCCTTTCATAGTGATCTCCCCTTGGAAGGGGTACTTGACCCTTCATTTGAAAAAATCAGAACCCCCTATACTCAATGCTGTTTTGTTCCAACTTTAGTTCAAATTGCCCCAGTGGTTTTAAAGTCAAAAAAATGTTAAAAGTTTACATACGGATGGACAGACAGAAAGACAGAAAAGCTCACTTGTAGGGATACTAACCTCTCTACTGACCTATTCTACCTTAAAAATACTTTTATAACCCAACATTAGTATCTTTCTAAGAGATAATTGAAGTCCAGTTATTCATTTGTCAAATCACAAACAAGATATAAATACGTTACGATTTGTGCAGTGTTGTGGTTAACACATCTCAAAGAAAGAAACTCGTACTCAAGATTTACGACTTGGATTCAATTCCAAAGTAATCATCAATTTATTTATTTATTTAATTTACCATAGAACAATTTGCTGAGACAATTTTATGCAAAGTTTTGCAATAATTTAATTTTGGTTGCAACGCTTCATTTGATCGGTTAAAAAAATAAGTTTAAATCGTAGAACCTGTGTTGCCTACGTCACAATGACTTACATCAAAAACTGATCTACATTTAACATATGTACAATTTGAAGGCAATTTTGAAGGCGAAATTGTCTTAATTTCTTCACATAAATTTTTATTTTTAGTACCCATGGCAACACCATTCATTGAAATCAAACAAACCAATAATCAGATTTATGTGTCTTAGTCAGCTAGTGTAGTCTACTTGTGTGCCAAATTATACTGATATCTGACCAAAACTGTGGGAGGAGTAGCAATTTGAATTTCACAGAAATTTTTTACTTTTAGTAACCATGGCAACACCGTTCATCAAAATTAAAAAGACAAAACTGTGTACCTATTAACGTGAAGTCTACTTGTGTACCAATTTACACTCAAATCAGACAAAACTGTAGGCCTAGGAGGTATAGCATTCTAAAAGAACTTCACAGAACATTCTATTTTTAGTGACCATGGCAACACATAAACTGATATAAAGAATTATGTATCTTAGTGTAGTCTTCTTGTGTGCCAAGCTGTATTTAAATCAGAACAAAACTGTAGGACTAGCGTTTTCAAAGAATTTCACAGAAATTTCTATTTTTAGTAACCATAGCATCGTTCATTGAAATCAAAAACCGATCGATAAAATTATATATCTTAGTGTACTCTACTTGTGTGCCAAGTTACATTGAAATCAGAGGAAAACTGTAGGAGGAGTAGCATTCTGAACACCTAACTATCACATAAGCTTTTCTAGACTCTGACTTGTAGAGCTAAAAATTGATGCACACTGCATTTGTGGCCTTGTCATCAGCTCTTTGAGCCTTCAGCTCAGGTGAGCTAAAAATACATTAAAATATCAATACTTGATATTCTTTATTAAAACTTTGTAAAAAATATTTGACAAAGGAATTCTACAAAACAAATGCCAAAATTCAATTCTTGTATTACGCAAAGTTGACCACAGTCTGAAATGAGAATAAAAATTGTACCTACAAAATTTTTTTTTTTTTTTTTAAACAAGAAACCATTTAATTGTGGAGAATTTAATGCTACCAACTTGCTAGTTATTAACTGCTTTTTGTAATTTTTTTTTTTAACAAACAGCTTAAAGAATAATAATGATCATACACATACAATGAAAATCCTATTCATTGCAATCTTCTACAACAGCAAGTTTCTAGAAATATTTTTCAACATATAAATGTGCTCTCATTATATATATAACGTAATTTATTTCAATGAAGGATTAACTTCTGAAACTTGATTTTTCTTCTGCTATGTTTCATAGCTTACAATAAATGTACAATGAATACTACTATTATAAAATGCAAAGCTATTATCAAAGTGAGCAAAATTGAAAACCAGTCTATTCTGGCAAGTTACTTCTCACAATAATAAACGAGTTATTGTTGTCAAATCCTGATATACCATGTGAAAAATAACTGCAGCATCCAAAAAGACAAAAAAAAAAAAAAATAAAATAAAAAAAAAAATAAAATAAAAAAAAAAAAAAAATAATCACACAAACCATCAACTTTTCAGTCAAAAAAAAAATGCGATTGGAAATATTTCTCTACTTAAAAATGCTGTTTAAAGCATCTGATTTAAATGATAAAAAGGGAGATAGCTGAATGATATATAGAGATGACAGATTACAGTCTTTCACAACAATAAACATTACTACAAGTAAGGAGATTGCAACAACTTGTTTTCCTAGTTCACAGAAAACTTTTGGTAACCACTTTTGTGACGAATTGATGAGATGAGCACCATGAATATGAACATGAATGTTATGAAATGATTAGTCTGCCAGCTGGTGAAAAAATGACATTCTGTAAACAACAAAGGGGCCAAAACTGCTGCAATACCAACCAACAGCAAAACGTCTCCACAGGAGGAACAAGAATTACTTTTTGATCTGAAATTTACATGCAAAATGAAAGTGTTTATTTGCATCAGATAAAGAGGTCATCCCAAACACAATATGGGACACAGGTACGAGATCCAACTTTGTCATTGGTCAATTTAAAACTGCCCCTTTATATACATGTCTCTTGTTTTATAAGTCCTCCTTGCTTTCATCTTCCTCATTGTCATTATGGGTGTGCCATGTGAGTCGTTCCTCGTAAAATGCTATCACTATTTGTGGACACTTCACGTTGGCTTGTCTGGCTGGAACCAAGTCTGCTTCATCGCTGTCTTTCCTGAAAACACATGTTTTGGCTACAGTTTACAGACAGCATTCTTAACTTCATTTCTTCAAAAATGCCAAATACAATTACCCTCTAAAATATACAATTTACAAGCTATACCTGCATTAATGTGTAGAAAAAAAAATGAACATATTTTTTTTTAAGGGGGGGGGGGGGGTTATTAATGTCCCAAAGAATAATCAGTTTTGGAAATTTGAGGAAGTCAATCAGTCTGCAGTTTTCTATTCTATTTTCAAGCTTCAATATATATATACAAAATTAAAACATTCACTCCAACAGCAATTTAATTCTCCTGATGAATTTACCATTTCATTAAAAACATGAGTTCTCCTGAACTGTCTGTGGCACCAATAATCCTTTCAGGTAATAGCCCTCTGTCAAAACCTCTAGGTTTGTTATCTTCTTCCTGTAGCATGAGATTGAAGGTGTTAAAAAGATAGTTATTACTGTAAAAAAAATTATATTTTTTTCATGCATATGTTAATATATCACTGAATAAACCTTTTACAATGTAGGTCAACTGAGTTACCAGCTAAAACTTAATGCAGGTCACTCACTTCACCATTTACATACAAAATGAACATCCTAATTTTTAGGAAGGAAAAAGAGGGGTGTTACCATATTTGAATATGTACACCATAATTTCTGCTATGAAAATATACCTATTTGACTTTTTGAAACCTTGAAGAGAAAAAGAGCTGTGGGAATCTTAGCAAAAGGGATTAGTGTAATCATTGCTTTAAGTCCCATCTTTAACGTCAATCTTTTTTCTCTATCGTAATACATGTACATTTGCCAATTCCAATGAATTTTTCTATCAATTTACTTTACAATGGACTCTCCAAGTAAATTTTGAACACTTGAATGAAAGTTTTCTTTAAAATGATGTCTCAAACAAGGGTCCCTCAAACAAGATGGTAATTTTGAAGTAGAACTCTATTCAGCATACACATATATATTTATTTTTAAACACCCCCTCGCAAATGAAATCCTTTTTTTTTTTTTAGGAGTGACTGTGTGGCATTAAAATGTATTCCCTCTCCTACTATTTTTAAGAATAGTTCCTGTATTCTAGAGACTTAACAATTTAATACTTACTGTTGTTTTGACTTCTGAGACTTTCTTCTTCTTTTTAGCTGCACCATCTTCTGTTCCATTTTGTGTTTTTCTTTTCTTCTCTTGTTCTTTCTTTTTCTTTTTGTCCTCAAACTCGGCTATTAGGTCAGGACAATCTAAATTTGCTTCAGGCTCCCAAGTATTTTCTGAACTAAATTTAAAGGAAGAATTCATAAAATATCACAGAATGAAGAGAAAATCATGTTTCTGATTTTTTTCCATGGAAAAATACCAGCTTGGTTTTGAGGAAAGTAATATGCCTTCTTGGAAAAGACTTCTATCACCAAACATTAAAGTTCATACCCAAAAAATGTATATAGGACAGAGTATATAAATTACCTCTAGGAAACTATAATTTTGTTAATAATCAAATGCACTAAATATAAATCTGTGATGATCAGATTTATGTTCACAGTGTGATCATCTTTAACTTACTCTGGATAGCCCTTCCATTTTAAGAGGTACTCTTTACGGCCTCCCTTCATCCGAGAGTCGACAACCTTTTCTACAGTGTATTCCTCCTCCTCTTCTTCCTCCTCCTCAACAGTACCTGCCTCCTCAACAATTTCTTCATCCTTTTTGGCTTTTGGACGGGTTGATGACATAGTGGCCTGAAATTTTTGAACAATTTTAATTTTCTTGCAATTCTAATAATTGTGTAAAAGCTAACTTTAAGACATTCTTGCTATCGATCTTTCACAACTAAAGGATTACTTATGTCTGTAACTAGTATTTAGACATGTTATGTAGGTAATTGCATATAAAACAAGTTTATAAACTTTGGTAGTAAGACACTTTGGAACTGCACTTCAACTGTTCTATTGATATCCTAATACATGTAATGCCACTCTGGTACCCTTCTTTTATCTTTTCTTTGCCATTAAAACAGCTTATTAAATGTATAAGCCAAATATGGTCCTAGATATTTGATAATTAATACAGATAATATGGTGAACTTTATTTTTCAAATTTATGCTTCATATTAAACACTACAAAAATATTTTTAGAACTTTATTTGGTATTTCTCCCTCCATAAAAAAGAACAAAATTGGCGTGAATGTGGTTATTGTAAATAGTAAATAACTTTTGTTAGACTTGCCTTTTCGTCCATTGTGTAGACTAACTGGGAACACAGCTACATAGAGAAAACAGAGTGAGGAATTGACATGATGTATATAGTGCAAGTCAAACTACATGGACCTGTCACAGTTTTTGGGAGGAGGGTTTAGAATTACTCATGCCAAAGATACATCTTTATCTAGTAAACATTTCAGTAAATGTATATATTTAAGATGATTCATTTGTTGTCTTTCTTACTTTTGCCAACAGTTATGGCCAAGAAAAACTTAAGAGTCTTTTGACTGAAATGCACATCAAATTTCACTTTTAACTTTCCAACAGTAGCATTTTTTTCAAATCTATTTCTTACTTTTGGTTTGCCATTGCATAGCTGCATCACTTGACCATACAAAGAAATGCAGATTTTAATTGAAGTGTTTTAGAAAGCATTCTTACATAGGTTTTAAATGTAGCTCTAAGCCTATCAAAAATTGTTGTTATAGACTTCGGGTCTTACCCAGGTTCGGTACAATCATAAAGCTTGAATTAGCTATATAGCTTGATTAAGTGATTCAAAATATCTTTCTCAAATGTGCATTTTTTTCAGCATTTGAAAAAGGTAGCACTTAAGTGCAATGAAAGTTTTCAACTCTGCAAGCCAAAACAATGCATGATACAATCACTCTTCCACTGTACCTCCCTGAGAAACTTTTTACTCAATGTTCTAAAAGTTTTGGGGCTATAAAGGAAATGATTTGTGACCAAACAGTTACTTCTTGAATAAAATTATAAGAGGGTCAATTGTGGTCAACAAGATTGTAGATTGGCAATTATTCAACACAATGTGAAGAAATAGCAAATTCAAGCTATATAATTAAACCAAGTGATTGTGCTGGATGGCGCTTGGTTAAATTATACTGTGTGACAAGTCCATGTGGGCAAACTTTTAAAAGAACAATTGCAAGTGTATAAATGCACTGACTAGTGACTAAAGCTTCAAAGTCTTTCCAGATGGATGAAAACCACAAGTCATCTTAATTCTATGAAGAGTTTACTTTTTTCTCAGTGGTTGTAATATCAAGTGTGAAAAGTCATCGAAGATAGGCCTACAATGTCACTTTTTAAATATATTTCTTTGTGCAATATTATAATCAATATCGCCATTTGGTTTGCAAAGTTAGAAATGTGAAGAAAGGGGCGATACTTCAACTATTTGAACATGATAATACATGCTGAGGAGAAAATGGAGTTTAAATGGCTGCTGAACACCTGAATCTGCATCTTCCATTCATAGTAAATACAGGCGCCATTTTGAAAAGCAAGCATGAGAGTTTGACAATATATAATTCACACCAATTAGGTGTGTTAAAGATGCAGTATTAATACTTCACCAGATCATGCTTTCTTCACATAAGATAAAAAATCTGTAAGCAATGTGCAAAACGACCATAATTTACCTCAATAAAATGTATTCACAATAACCTCAGATATGCCGGGAACACAACGTCACGCTGATGCGCATGTATTACATTAACTTCCGGTGGCAGGAAAACGCGGGAACAAACTTTCAATATTTCTCCTCTAAAAGTAATTATGCATTTTATAGAATTTACAATATCAAACTTTATATAATGGAATTGTGATTCAAAAGCAATGAAAATAAAAAAAAAATTGGAAAATAATAAAGCTAATCACAAAAATATTTAAACTTTTTTCGGATAAAAACGGATCAAAAAATCTTGAGGAAGGGAATGGAGGTCGGGGTGGGTATCCATCTATAGACATGGAAAGGGAAACATTATGGGTCTAAATGCCTAGGTGATGACAAAAATTACGCTCAGCCCCCCCCCCCCCCAAAAAAAAGAACGAAAAATCGATATGATAAAATTTTAGAATTATTTTTCAAAGGATCTCGTTATAATAAAGAATATATACCTACATACAGATATCGTATTGCGTTGGGCTTGATTTCAGTTGTTTCTACATTCAAAATTTTTAGTTAAACCTAGAAAAATTAATAGCTTCCCACTAAAGGAAAGAAGTACAGAAAGTTTAGTTAATTAACTAGAGTTAGCAAAACAAAACAAAACAAAAAAAAAATACTTAGACGTTACGCACGGTGTTGGTGACGCTTTGAATTGATTTTCCTTCTATAGAGAATATCGGCATGCATTACTCTATAATTGTGTAAATAAATAATACCTCTTAAGTACTTTGCTTCAAAATAAATTAGAAAATCTTTTGAAACTCGGAAATATGTTCATTATTTTTTATTTTATCTACATTAAGATATTAATACCTTTGATATTTATGCATAGATACACATGTAGACTGGTAACGTTTGAGGCATATACTCAAAATTGTGATACATATATGAGCGATTTATAAAATTGTAATATTGATAGTTTTTATATCAGTCGGCGGGAAAAAGCATCGTCTTTATGACATCATAAGTAATTTGACGTAAAAATCGTTAGATCTGAGTGAATACGCCCTTTAACGCATGAAGATAGAAGGTAGACTTCGAAAAAAAAAAAGAGGGGATAAATTCAAAGTTTGATCAGGTAAGGGTGTTTATGGAGATGTGTTATATATTTTTAAAGTACTGGAAATTTGATTTACACAAATATCTATCAAAAACAGATGCTTACAAGAGTTCTTGAAAAATTTTAGGTTCATTTTTAAATCCTTTTCAAACATTTTAGCATTTATTTGAAACTCATACCATATAAAACCCCTATGTCACGTTATATTTTTTTTAAACATTGTGATTCCATATAACCCTTACTGTTTGATTTTTTTAGTCCGTCGTATAAATTTCAGAAAAAAATATGCAATTTAATTCTGAAAGGAGTGTATCAAGGATCTGCTTAAATATTATTTTATGAATTTCAATGCATGAAAATAGCTCATGTGGAATTTCGCATGTTTTTACTTGTCCGTCACAGGAAATCTTTGACGGTTTCATGGCGTCTCATAATATAAACTAGCCCTATTTAGTCCAAGTTTATAAGACTTATTCATATTTCAATTCCAATTATTTTACTCATGGTCTATAATCTCCTACTATGCTTTTTATTATTTAGTTCCAAAACGTTTTTTGTCTCAAAATATGATACCAAATTCTAACTGAATCTCTGTCTACTCAAATGTCCTCGACAGTGTTTCTAATGTTTTTCTTTGATTTTAAATGCTATGGTACCGAACTCGTACTCTTTGAAAACAATTATTTCAAACACTTGATAAGTTTTCAAAAAAACTCTTTATTCTCTAAAAATTATACCCATATTAGACTTTCCTGTTTCTTTGTTTTGCAACAGAAATGATATTCAATGAATTAATGAAGAAGTTTAATTGTTCTACTAATTTGTCTCATCTACAGGATTTTGACGTGATCTGCACTTATGACGTCTCGCGACAAAAAAACGCAGATGTTCACGGTTTAGATTCACCTTAATTAAGACACATCAACACATTCATTGTTAAACCCAGAAAATTGTAAATGGAGGGGATGCACAAAATGAAAGGGGGAGGGGGGGGGGGGTAGAGGGAATTCACAACCTGACTGCTTAGACAGTTTTTACAGTCTACATCCCATTTACATTTCCTTTTCCTCTTTGGGAGACATCGCAAAGTTTTAAGACTTACTATTCATCAGTACCTACTAATTTTTATGAAGGCTTTTGTTCATTTCTCAAGTGTAGTTTTGTCTGCAAAAAGATGGTGGTGGTGGTGGGGGGTGGGTGGGGGATTCTGACCACCTCCTCTGGATCCGCCCTTGGAATGACGCACATGTTACAGTATGATTATAAACAGATAACGATATGGGACAAACTTTAAATTTTAAAAAATCGGAACAATACGTGGTATGCTTATTTTTTTTTATATTGCCAATTACCGTCGGCAAATTGAATTCAAATACCGAAAATTTCTGCTATCTAAATCAAATATGAATTTGATTACATTAGATATAAAAGTATATTTTTGCTGAATTGTGGCAAATGAACAGTTTATAAGGGGTTATTGTATACAGTTGAAGGGAGCGAATCAAAGAAATACATGTATAGCTTTCATGAAAAGGTAATCAATTTAAAACAACAATATATTATGCATACCAGCGCAATTTTTCATGTCGACAAAACTAAGGCCTATATACTAATTCTTCAGTGTGTTTCAAGAAAAAGAAATGGTGTTATCAATGTTGAATTGCTAGCAACGCTCCCGTCCCGTTCGATTCAGTACGATATACAGAGATGCTCTCTCTCTTTTATTCAGTCTTTTACATTAAAATATTTCGGGGTGAAGTCTCCTCAGAGACCCCATTTTAATCCGCGCCAGGTGTGCCTACGGCTCTTTGGATTGGATAGCATAGATATTATACATTAAAATTAAGGATTACATGATTATTTTTTGAAGAATTAAAAAAAAAAGAATAAAAAACCCTTATTTTTTATCTAAACATATTTGGTAAATTTAATTTTCTTGGCTCTAAACAAAATTGATCTAAAAGTATTCCTTATTTTTCCTCTTGTTGGGGGGTGGGGTAATCTTAAATGATATTGTTTCACATGTACCTAAAAGAGGACCCCCCAGGCATTATGTTGTCTATGAAACATTCAATAATAAATTCAAATTCCATTCCTTATTGGATGACATATGTATAGATATATTGTTTGATAACTATTTTTATCGTTCCTTAATATATTAGTTTACATATAAATTATAAAATTTGTATCATATATTGGTACAGGTATGTCAAATTGCTCAACGATCAAAGAAAAGAGAGAGGAAATACGCAGAGAACAAAAGAGAAAATGGAAACAAAAACAAAAATTATTGAGACCAGCAAAGGAGTTGTCTCAATCTATAGCTGCTGTAAAGAAGAGGCAGCAGAGAGAGAGGCTTGCTCGGAAAAAAGAGGAAGAACGTGAAAAAAGACAACAAGCTACAGAAAGAAAGCGGAAAAGTAGGGCAGCCCTTAAGAGTAAACAGATTCAAGAGAAATTAAAGAAGGAAGAAAAACGCAAGAAAAACACAGAGAAACAAGACGATGGCGAGAAAAGAAAAAAAATACTCACGCAACACAATCTTCCGCTCACACAAGAGGAACAACAAATATTTCAAAATAAAATGAGTAAATCCCGTGCAATAAGAAAGTTAAAGGAAGTACTTCCTAGGACACCTGTAAAACGTATTGCAACTGTAAAGGCGTACTTGTCCTCAAAGACATCACCCACGGTTAAGGAACTACAGCGTAGAAAGGTTGTACCATCACCGGAAGAACGCAAAGAATTGAAAATGAATGAATCGGTTATACAGGATGTGAAATCTTTCTTGAATTCGGTGAAATTTAGGAGGAGTGATAAGTCGCGGGAAGTCGTCGACATTCTAGCTGCATCTGTATCAGGACCATTAGTTCAAAAATCTAGGGCCAAAGTTGACCTTGCGAGAAAACTCGGAATGCCAGTTAGAAGGATCTCAAAGGGTGTTCGAATCCGACAACGAGTTTTGCATTCAGAACAATCATCCTTTGAGTTTACAAAAAGGAAAACAAGGTCAGATAAACTAACTGAAGAAGTTCAAAAACAGTATATGATTTTTGGTGTCTACCCGAAAATTCGCGGCACACTGGAAATAAAACTGATGTCAAGCGTGTCCGAATAGGTCCAAAAACTTACTGTAGCCATGCTATTCAAATTCTAGAAAAAACACAGAGTGAACTGTTCATGTCTTTTAACCAACATTATCCTGAAATTAAGATTTCACAGAGAACATTTGAAAAATGTAAGCCATATTTTGTCCGATCTGCAAGGAAAAAGGATAGAACAACATGCTACTGCAGGTATCATCTAGAGAGCAAGTTTTTGTTCAACGCTTTCAAGGCACGTAGAAATCAGTTGGCAAACGATGGGTTGCTGGACGAAAACACATTTAAGGTTTACAGAACAATTTCGGAATTATGTGAAGATACGATGTGCCATACGGAGGATGGAAATTTACATTTGAAAGACTGTTTAGAAAGAAGCTGTGAAAAATGCGGTGTTCATTTGCTGAAATTTTGTGACGCTGAATTAGATATGTCTGACGATTCGCCAGATGTAAATTGGAAAAAATTCGAGTATGTTGACATCAAAACAAAAAATGGTACCAAGAAGAAACTGACATTGGTAGACAAAATAACAAAGTCCGGTGAGATGATAAAGTATTTTAAGAAGGTGTTGGGGTTTTTCCCAGGTCATCATTTCAGGGCCAAATGGCAAACGGATCAGCTGAAAAATCTTGCCGAAAACTTACCGGAAAACGAATGTTTAACAGTTCATGATTTCTCAGAAAACTACCGATGTAGTGAGCAGGTTGAAATCCAGTCAAACTATTTTCAACGAACTGAGGTTTCCATTCACATTTCCCTGATTTATAGACATGCTATTTTAGAAGTTGACGGTGTATCGAGCACCCCCGATGACCCTTATATTATTTGTGAACTGTTTATATGCCAAAATGTATCTATACAAAACGAAATTCACCTAACCGAAGAGGAAAATGAAGATATCCTGGAATGCGTCGATTTGTGCGTGTTAACACACTAAATTGATATTAAATGACATCTAAATATTTTTTAGAATTGATTTTAAACCTGCATTTTTAACAAATTTAAAGAAAGTTAATTAATACGGTAAAGAACACTTTTGCCTGTTTTTGACATGAACGTTTTTCACGCTACATAATAAACATATTCACTCATTAAACTTCCAGTTTCTTTTCATTTTATTTTATTTTTTTACTTTTAACAAAGAAATGGATTTAAGGGAATTCTAAATTCTAATGAAAACGGTTTTTTTTACTTTGAGATCTTTTATATAAACGTGTAGATACTTCAATTTCAACAAGGGTACTAGTACCTAGCTACAACATTCACCAAGAAAAAATATATAAAGATGTTTAAAGAAAATGAAGTATTCGCTCATGTTTACGTACATGCAAATAATGTATTCAGGTTTTTTTGGTCAATATTTACTGAAGATTTCCATTAATTCCAACTTACATAAAAGGGGCAGATCACTTTAACTTCATAAAACATATGGAGTTAGAACTCCTCAGTATGCAGTTAAACCTTTATGAAAGTTTTATTAAGTCGCTGATTGATCTGAGTAATTTTTACGTCCCGTTTACGTGACGTTAAACGTCATTTATAACGTTACCAAAATGTGACACCAACACCGTGCGTAACGTTTTAGTATTACATAGTCTTCTTGCTTTATCCTCCTCATTCTTTTTTTTTATTTTCAAGTTGAAATTAATATTATGATGATAAATATTTAATGCATGGACGGTAATATGATGCATAAAATCAAAAATGGTTCAGACGCTGCATATAGCTGCAAATGAGGTAGATTGAATTATGAGTTAACCGTTAACACTTTTGAAATGGATCCCTTCTTTTATTAAAAGACATTGTATTAATTAGAGGCTGCATCGGGAGATGCTTGGGGCAATTCATGTTTCAGATGCAGGAAGTGACCAATACAATTTACAAATGAAATATCCGGCTAAAGATTATTTTCATCATTCTATTTTGCAAGTGCTTACCATTCAAGTAACACACGACACACAATCTTTATTTGTACATAAAGCACAGCGAAATTCTCTTTTTCTAACAAGAGTAATCACTCCCACCTCAGCCCGGGGCTGAACTCTCGACCTGCGGAATCGGTCTCCTATAAAGCACTGCAGGAACAGCGTGCTAGACCACTATCTAAGCAAGTTTGCTTTTAGAAATGCGGTGTCGCCATACACTAGTGTATTTTTGAGAATGAAAATTAAGGTACAGCTATTTGGAGATTATTTACAAAAGGATCGTTACTGATACACATCTACGAAAGCCTATTAGGATCAAACTACGGTAAAAAAAAAATTAAAAGGCGTTATAAAGTTATAACGCGAAAAAAGGCGTAATAACGCCTTTTGAAAAGGCGTTATAACGCGGAAAAAGGCGTAATAACGCAAATAAAGGCGTAATTACGCCTTTCCAAAAGGCTTTATAACGCCTTTCCAAAAAGGCGTTATTACGCCTTTCCAAAAGGCGTTATTACGCCTTTCCAAAGGCGTTATTACGCCTTTCTAAAAGGCGTTAATTATTACGCCTTTCCAAAAGGCGTTATTACGCCTTTTAAAAAGGCGTTATTACACCTTTTAAAAAGGCGTTATTACGCCTATTTTTTTAATACATGACTTACTTAGACCACCCTTGGGGATGATTATAATTAGATTTTCAGGAAAAAAGATTTTTAAATGTGTAAAATATTTTCAGTGTTAAACCAACTTAGTCCTTCTCTGATGCCAGACGCCTCTACCAAGGTGCATGGATTTCAGAAATTTGGTTGAAGGCTAATTGCTCATTATACCTATGCAAATACTTTGCCTGTTTTTTACCAATAGGAGAGAAAAATATTTCAAATTTGACATGAGTGGGGGGGGGGGGGTTCCCACACCCCACTTTTTGAGAGAATAGTCTTGCTATAGTTTAAATATAAAAAATCATTTATTGATTGCTTGGTCCCTTAACATTTTGTTGCAGTATGGTTAAACTCGGGCAAGTCATTGCATTTAAAAACAGTTTTACGAAAAAATAGAATGTTTCCCCTCAAGTTTAGGCAGTTTATTTTTTTCGGGGGGGGGGGTGTTTCTTGTTTTTTTGTTTGCTTGTCAATTTTATGGGACCCCCCCCCCCCACTTTAAAAGCACGGGCCTGTCAAAGACATAATAATGGCCCTTCAAAAGGCATAATAACGCCTTTTTGAAAGGCGTATTAATGCCTTTTAGAAACGCTTAATAACGCCTTTTGGAAAGGCGTAATAATGCCTATTGGAAAGGCGTAATAACGCCTTTTTCCGCGTTATAACGCCTTTTGGAAAGGCGTAATTACGCCTTTATTTGCGTTATTACGCCTTTTTCCGCGTTATAACGCCTTTTAATTTTTTTTAACTGTAGTTTGATCCTAAGAGGCTTTCGTACACATCAATTGCAATGAAATTAGCATTATTTTTAAAGCAATTTACAGACTGGTTTTCAGTCAACTCAGAAGTCAGACAGGGATGCACAGTGCACACCCACCCATCCACCCATATATATAATATATATATATATATATATATATATATATATATATATATATATATATATATATATATATATATATATATATATATATATATATATATATATTTCCGATCTTTTATTGGCCATGGTTGGTTGATGTGAAAAAGGAACTTGTAAGTTATTCCTGATAGTAAACAATAATATTTTTGGTGACATGATTGGTGGGGTCCTCTTCTGATGTGCAATAAGGTTTCAGAACTGGCACCTACCCCCCCCCCCCCAACACACACACTCCCCTTTTCCCACAAAATTCTAAAACTTCTTTTAAGCAGAATTTATGCGTTACTAAATTCTTTAATTTCAAACTGATGATGAATTTATTTTATAGAATACTAACATAAGAGAACCATGGGCCACATGCTCTACCCGAGCATTTTATGTTCAATTTGATGCATGTGTACATGTATATTAATGTAAATAACAGAATGACCATTGTGGCTAATTCTTTGCTAGATACCAAGGTTTATAAAGGAGAGTACATTTAGGGGCAAACACTTAAGTGCAGGTATCATCATCCTATGACAGCATCTAATCTTAAAAAGGTAATGATTTTGAGTAGTTAAATTTAAATCATGTTTCAAATTAGCAACAATTCTAGATATAATGAATCTATAATTTGATCGTAAAAATTGCACTTCATTCTTAACTTGCACTTATCTGTACTCCTCGAAGCCTAACTGTCAAAATTTATAATTTTTATGCCCAACATGATTTTCTACATAAAGTTCGGGTATATAGTTATTATCCTGGCCCACTTGTTCGTCCATCTGTTACAATATCTTCTTCCTCCAATTCCTCGTAATCCATTTTAAATCATCTCTTGGAAAAATAAATGATGATGTCCTGATGTGCAATAAGGTTTCTGGTTTTTCATTTCACCCTGAGGGCCAATTGGGAATCGAAAAACGACATGTTTTCTCTCCAAAACCTGGTTTACGAAATTCCACTTAAATTTTACACAGGAGCAAATTATCTGTTAGGATACTTAAATACATCGTGGTGTATAGATGCGTCGTGGTCCCGTCATCAGGTAGATCCTCTTTCGCATGTTGTTTCGGCACTGTCCACTACCAACCTACTGGGGTGATCAAGTCCCAGCCTGTGCGTATAAATTCTGTGCTGCATCACACCGTTTATGGTAAGTTCACACACAACATGTTACTAATGTTGCATTTTTCACTGTTCTTCGTGTTTCTTCCATACTCACACGGATGCCATTTCTGCTTCCCTGTCCAGAAGTTTTTGACGAGTTTCTCTTTGCCTATGACTCTGATGACCCACAAGGCCCTCCACATGGATTGCACCTCCACTGGAAGGCACCACACTCACCAGCCTATATGCTGACAGTATGCAACCAAATCCTGGTATTTGTTCAGCTTTCGCTCGTTGGCTTGTTTTCTCCTGCCAAGGCACTGACAGTTCCAGCAAAAAAGCATGCTTATAGAAGATGGAGACCAAATAATAATCTGGTCTTTGATTGGTAGCTTCTATCTCCTGTAGCAACTGGT